ATTCAATTATTATTTAAAGACATGCTGTCATGGTGTCTAACCAATTAATATTTCTCATCTGCCAATTATAAAATCGAAGAGTAATTCCACATTATTGTAAACTTGTTCTACAGCTTAACGCGCACATAATTGAGAAAGTTGCTGCTGCTGCCTTTGCTGGGCTCATTTTCAATTCTGCTTCAGGCGTATATTTTGTTCTATTTTAAAATGTTTATGGCAAGCAGCAAATATTTTGGTGACTGCTTTTACCTTTTGCTCAGCTTGTGGAGATGGGCGCGTGACATATTAATTTCAACATAGCACGAGGGAAGGCAACAATTGTTGAATTTTCTATAAAATATTCTATTTTTTTGTAGTCTATTTTTGGCTTAGGTTAATTGGGCTAGCCAAAATTGCTATATGTATAATTAAAGTACAAAATACTAAATATATATTTTTGCTATACCTTATTTCCATTATTTTGAGCTATAGCTGCAAATTCCGAAAGCAAATTGTCTATTCTTATAGCTCGTTAGTCTGACTTTCCTAATCCTTGGAACTAGTATTGGTTACGCCACATTAAATGTTAATAATTGGAATTTACTGGTTTTTTGCCTTTTAGGATGTACACAGAAATTATTATTGCAAAAGCACGTGCCCAACGCCAGTGTGAAGTTAAGACTCCGACACTGCATACAGCTTTTAACAAACACACATACAAATAAAACGAGAGACAGCAATCGTCTGGCCATGGCAATGACTTTAACTTCCGCTTCCGCTTGTTACAAAACGCTGGGGGCAAATAAGTTAATAAAAGAGAAACCAACTTTTTTGTGCTTTGTTTAAACAAGATTTCAGGCCGTTTAGGTATATTTTTTTTGTGTTGAAACGAACACAGACAGTTCACTTAGGCAGAGTTTTGCTCTAAGCTAATTTGGGTAATTTAAGGAAGTTTCCAAGTGCGCTTTGGAACTGCGTCTCATTTAATGGCAGCTCAGCAGAATGGGATTATAAGTGCGTGAAATCGAGTGTCAACAAGGATAAGAACCCACTAGTATTTGCAACTGGAAAAGGGCAGGGCTTGGCTTGGCTTCAACTGCATTCGCCGATTTCCCCTGACTGACCAAAATTGAATTCAAGCAAATCGGCTATTAAATTGACTTGAATGTCTGCCAGAAATGATAATTCAGTTGACAGCAGCCACAAACAGCAATTCAAACAACAACAAAAACGTTCGACAAAATGTGACCAAAAACATTTTACCACATAGCTGCAAGTGGCGCGAAAAATCCAAAAAAGTCAAATGGACTGCGACTGCGATGGAAACTTGAAAGTGGAGTGTGGTTAAAGTGGAGTGGACTATAGCGTAGAGTGGAGGTGAGTGTGGTTTAAGTATATCCGCTTGACTTTGCTGTGTTTTGTTTTGCCATAAAAGTCAATTGCTTGCCATTTTTGCGGATTGGTCGCAACCGAAAATACTCGTTGCCATCAAGGCATAAAAATTAAAGTAAAATGGGGTGGGCAGAGTGGTCCTTAAAAATGGGTAACTGAACTCAAATGTGTTCGGAAAATGTAGTCGTGGGTCGCCCGATGCGGGTATAAAGGCCTTTTCCGTCAAATAGCTAAACAAAAATCATGCCAATCCCAACCACGTTTGTCGGCACACTTACGATTCCCTTGAGGGCCTTAGCAATGCGTTTTTTTACCCCCGTTTTTATTTTAACAAAAACCAATTGCCACTAACTGGGCTGAGTGTGCTGCTGTTCTGCTGCTGTGGTGCTGGCTCTGTTGATGGCACCGCGGGCGACCATAACAATTAGACTGAAATTAAGGAAATTAACGCGTTGTGCAAATTGTCAGCAGCTTGCGTGTTGTGTGTTTGTCAGGCAGGGGGCACGAAGTCATGATGTTTTAGTGGGTGGGTGGGAGGCAGAGTCACACACATGGCAGCTTATGTTGGCCATCATTGCGGCTAACCGCGGCAGCAACTGTGCCCAAGTGTGGGTTCATTTAAATAGCTATTAAGCAGCGACCACATATGCTTAAGCCGAATAATATAATAAAGCTACGTATTGAGGCCAGCTTAGTGTGTTGAAGCTGAATAATATGGTTTAAAAATGGATCGAGCCTATCAGATAATTCGTGTTGGTCTTTCATATTAGCATTGTTCAGATTGTTCAGAAAACCTTGGGTCTATAAGGGAATATTGTATTTGTGCAAAATCCAAATGTATGTAACAGGAAGAAGAAAGCATCTCCGACCCCATAAAGTATATATATTCTTGATCAGCATCAATAGCCTAGTCGATCTAGCCATGTCCGTCTGTCTGTCCGTCCGTCGGCCCGTCCGTCCGTTTGTATGAACGCAAGGATCTCAGAACATATAAGAGCTATAGACTTGAAATTTAAGATGAAGGTGCTCCTAGTGCCTGCGCAGATCGAGTTTGTTTCCGATAATCGATAACTTACTCCGTTTCCAAGCAATCGATACAAATCGATATCGATATCCTGTTTTTTCAGCAATTTTGGTCAATAATAAGAGCTAGAGTCCACAAACTTGACTTATAGCTTCTAAAATAGAATATATATATATGCATTTGATGTTGGAAGAAGTGGGTTCAGGGTATCCCCTAGTTGGGAGCTTCCGACTAGGACCTATTACTTGTTTGCTCTTAAAGTGATGGAGCTCAAACTCCTTTTCAACGTGAGATGCCGCATTAGACGTTAAGATAGTACGGGTAGATAAAATATATCCACGGGCGGGAAATAAAAATTGATGCCTTCAATATGAAGCAAAAAACTAAGACCGCGTAAGGCCGGAAAATATCACCTAGTTTGTGCATAAGCTTCACTTGTTTGTGTATTTTTAGACAGTAAATAGGCAGCACTGTTAAATAAATGTCGTGCGATTTAGAGGAAAACTTTGCCAAAGTCCAATACTAAACTTTTGAATAAACCAGACAAACAAAGTTAAAAGCAAATGCTCTAAAACCGTTGCGTACAGTTCAATAAGTTTTTGAGACAATTATTTATTGAAAAAAGATACAATTCGCCCATCAATCGCTCCCCCGAACACTTCTATTCACTTTGCGGCTGCATTGGAACTTTTGTTTAACACGTTTACTTCAAAAAGTATGCGAACAGTTCACTGAATTTTCCGTGTTTTCGAGTTGTCTACCGTTTTTGCTAAGCTGCAGCTTCAGTCTACTCAGACGTTCGTTTAAGCTATTATTGTTGTTATTATTGTGTACCGTTGTGCACTGTACATACTGTCAAAATGTACATACATATATTTCTTTGTTCGCTTCATTGCACAATCGACTTTATAGTTTGGCACGCCGAACTGACTTCTTGAATAAGCCGAGAAAAGGAAAAAAAAAGGAAAACTCCTGTTAAAAGCTAAGATTTTGACTTATGTTTCTGCCTTAGATTGTTGCTGCCATCAAAAAAACAAATAACACAAAAGAAAAAAATTTTGCAAGCTAGACTTGGCACTAAAATCAATTAGAGCAATCCATGGACTTTGGGGCATGTGTCATCAGTTGCTCTTAGTGGTAGTTCGCCCAGTCGAAACGACAATATTTACATGGTAAAAGTCAACTTTAAAAGTTCATATTGTGGTGGTAGAAATGGCAGAATTGTTGTTTCTGCACACACTCCCACTCTCTGTCTATCTCCATCGCTCTCTGCTGATATAACCTTTCATTTTTCCGGTTTGTATGCAGATTTGTTTGCTCTATCGATTGTGCGATAGCAAGGACTGTTTGAGTGACCTCTGCACTCTTTGCTTGTCTTGTCCTGCCGTTTGTTTGTCCGCCTCTGTGCACCTATCAAAGCAAACAACTTCCGTGCGATGTCACGACTAAGCCGTGGCCAGTTAGGCCAGTCGGCCGGGCGGCTGAGTAAGTGCATTCGTAGTACATTCATGTTTGTTTATTTTTCGAATTTTTTCTCATGTACCTATCACTCTTAAGGGCTTTAAAGGGAAACAGCAAAACAATAAACAGGCGTAGGTAAAGCGGCTTAAATACAGACTACTTTACCTTCCCGGCAAATATTGAGAATAAAGCTCAAGTCCTAAAACCTTAAAATTTAGCTGTTAGTTTGCAGTTATTTAGCATAATGCTATGAATATAGTAGATTGATGGCTATAGGGCTTGCAAGTATGCACTTTAGTCACACATAGTTGTAAGAACTGACTGACTGTGCGCTCATTAAATAGAACTCAATTTAATTAATTAAATCGGCAAATTTAAGACGCACTTAATCTAAATAAGTATCTGATTGCTAGGAATTACGTAGAAGTTTGTATAGCTTGCTAAGCTAAGCAGCACTCAACAGTTGCGGGTGGATAGGGTGGCTTGGGTGGTTCCGTGTCGATGATAAACAATGGGTTTCCGCTGTCTGCCTGGATAATATGAGAGTCGAACTTAAATGAACAATCGATGTTATCTGCCGTAGCTGCCGTAGCTCCACGAATCACTTGGCCAGCGTGCACGTTTTTATGGAAGGTACTTAAACGGGGGAGCTCTGGAACTTTAGCGCCGAGCTAATGCGTTTTATCAATTGAGTTCCATCAAATGAAACACTTTGTAGCGAGAAGTGAAAGCGAAATGAAGCCAAATAAATTGGATTCCTCGAACGGAATGGGCGCCCAAAAGTTAGTTAGTGGCGCTCCGGCAAATAACCCCTCGCCGCATAAATTAGTTGCACGCTTCAATACGAGAACACAATCTCATTGCCCTAAAAGTATTTATTGCCTCAGTTTCGAAAAAAAAGTTGAAGGAGGCTGCCAGATTAAAGGTGTATTCCCCGCAGGCTTGACTAGCCTGCTTTATGTGCTGCTCTAACCGGGCTTTCATTATGTCCCAACCAGATGCAGTTTTTAATTTCTCCTTTGATGCTTCAGCCTTGGCATTTCTGTACCCTGTGGCCTTAATTATGGGTATGAAGGGAGTGCTGAACTATGCAAAAAATAAAATATAAATCAATCGAAAACATTTTTATCTTAGTAAGCACTGGCATTTTTTAACTTTCCTTGACTTTTTAAATTAAGGATAATTTAATGTACAAGCATTCAAGAAACTTTCTCTAAGGTAATTAGCTAGTCGGGCAATCTTGACTAGTACTTTCATTAATTATGCTTTTTCTAGCTCTTTGTGCAAAACCGCATAGAGCTAACTGACAGGTAACCCGTCAGTCGGCTTTTTACTTTGGCATCTGAAAGGTGAAAAAATATGCTCGGGAGTTGGTTTTTTCAATAAATTAAGTAAGCATTTATTTATAGCACACTGAACATTTAACTGGAATCGTATGGAATATTATATTTGAGAATCATATGTATTTTCTTCATATGGTATATTCATATCTGTCGCGATTATACACATATATTTTGGAAAGTATGTTAAAACCTGAACAGCACACAACATTAACATTTCAATAAACATTTATCGATTTACTATATTAAATACGCATTGTGTAACTATTTGGTTATGGGGTTTTCTGTAATTATTTAACTTTTGCATATTATATGGAATTTCAAAGGTACAACTCTCAATTTTATTTCCGGCGATAATCTTTCTACCTGGCAACTATCGCAATTTGGCCTTCTCAGAGGCTCACGCATATGTATATATGTAGACATAATTTATAACAAATAGACACGAATTTTATCTAGTATGAAATACTCTACTGCTCTGTCTTTTGACTAACTACTTAAAATCGATTTATGTGGATTACGCTTAAGCCAAAGAGTAATTAGTAGTTGAAACTATTCTATGCACATTTACAATTTATAGTTATTTTGCTTGTTCAAATGGAAAAAACTGAATTTGTTTTGGTTTAACCAAACAAGTTTCATCGTATTTTATCTGCGAGCTTTTAACTAGAAGCTTACATTTGTTCAGCACTGTTTTTAACTTGGCCTAATGCCTACTTCTATAGGGTGTCTCTTTAGACCCTCGCATCGCTGTATTCGATGCGCACCGTGCGCCGCGGTCGCTGCCCTGGCATTGAGTGGGGATTCTTCTCGTTGGTCGCCAGGCTGCGCAGCGCCAGCAGCTCCCGCGGCTACAATTGCGTGCGCTTGGCCCCGCCATTGCTGGCTGAGGTTGGGACATCGCCGGGAGCCTCGACATAGGAGTAGGAGGGCGTTTCCATGACTAGTGGATGGCAAATCTCGTAGACGGGCACCTTCAGGCTCGTCTTACGCAACCCGCCCAAGCTGCTCTGCGAGCTTGAGCTGGGCCCAAATGAACGTCATCTGGACTCGTTGCCCAGTTCCGAGTGGGAATGATGTAGCTCGCTTTCATCGCCAAAGCTGTGTGCCGCCGCACTGGGCGTAATGCTGGGCGTGCGCCCCTGAATGCGTACAGCAGACATGTCGGAGCCACGGCGGGAGCTCTTCAAGGAAACACTCTGGCGGGAGCAGAAGCATCGGCATATGATGCGCTTGAATGCAAAGCGGAAGTCCTTAGAGAAGAGCGCATATATCATAGGATTCACCGCCGAGTTGCAGTAGCCCAGCCAGAAGAGCACCGAAAAGAGTAGCGGATCAACGCAGTCCTGACAGAAGGGTCTGATTATATAAATCGTGAAGAACGGAAACCAGCAGAAGATGAACATGCCCACAATAATGGCCAAGGTCTTTGCCGCCTTCGTCTCCATGCGAAAACGCTTCACCTGCGCCTTGATATTCCGTCTGCCCATCTTTTTGTTGGCGGCTCGCGGATGACCCACAACGCCGCCAGCCTCGCTGCTGTTGCTCTGGCGTCGCGCCAGCTCAGGCAGCGCCTTGCTGACCTGTAAATAGCACGTGCTACCGCCATGATGCTGCTGCCTATACAGTTGTGATTCTGTGGACTCGCGTCCATGGGCGCCATTGTAGTGTACGGAGAAGAGAGCATTGCTGGAGGTGCGCCGAGATTCATGAGTCGGCTCCGGCTGTGTCAGCTCGTTGATATTCTCGCTAGATGGATATGACACAGATATCTTGATCTTGTCGTGTTGATGATGCAGTCTTCGCGTCGCATATTTGCTCAGACGCTCCGGCGAGGGCGTACCTAGTGTGGTTGTGGTGCTCTGTGTGCTGCCATTGCTGTGCATCGAGTCCTGCTGGTTGGAACCACGTCCGCGATGTATGCGCAGCGTCAGACGCTGCTCCTCAAAACGTGAGCCAATGCCCTTGGAGCCTGCCAAATGGGAGAAATTGAATTAACATTAGTTCGGTGCTGCACACAATACACATAATGTTTCCTGTCTTATTGAATATTGCTCATACACCCCCTGCACACCACGCACGCATTTCAATGCGTTGCCATTGCCATTGCCTAAACTGTTTGGCGTAACCGTGTCATGTCTTGGCGCTCTGCCAGGCTGCACTTTACTAAATTAAACGCGTAATTATGCAAATGTCTTAGCATAAACGCGACAAGCACTCAATGCTGGCCCCTGTCTCGCCGCCTTCTTTGGCAACAAAACTGTCCTGCTGTACGTCTTAAGCTGCCTTCAAAGCGAACTTTATTTCATTAACACACATACATTTGCATAATTTCACACACACACACACACACACACACACACACATACATACAGACACTTGTACAACATTCATGTTGCGTGGGCCTAGCTGTTGCCCGTTTTGCATTTATTACTCATACGCACGTTTAACAGCTGTATAAATTTTCATTACATGCCGCGTGAATGTAATGAATAATCGGCACAATAATGCCATGTCATGCTGATTGTTACGCTGTTCAATTATTTATGGTTGCTTGATACGCCTCAAGCCGCTGCTCCGTCCTACTGTTACACGTTTGCACTGGGCTTGACCTATCCGGACATTTTAATGGATATTGGATACAAGCACCTCGACTGTTTGATGTTCAAATACCTCAATACAATCGCAATGCGAATTAATTGCATAGCCTACATTACTGTAGCTGCGGTGAGGTCTGGAAACGTACAGCAACACGGACACTAATGAAAATTCCCAGAAAGCTACCTCAATATTGCAAAGTTGATGTTGTGTCGTTGTAGAAGTAGACTGTTTAGGACATTCAATTAAACATACTTAGTACATTCAGACTTATAAGTTGTATCTCTGATAAGAGCTTAAGGCACAGTTCAGCTTTAAGCAATCTTCATAGCTGAACTCCCTTTAGTTATTAATCCTTAAAGTCTTAAAATCTGAGCATCGGACTAACAGGCCTGTTCAAGTAAAATGAATATTCTCTAATATTGTCTCGACCATATCTTTAGGTTAGGCTTCTCAGAATCAATTCGTCTGTTGTCGCTTACATATGTTGTGAATACTTTTCTTATGCCGCTTGAACTGAATCCAATTATTTTGGCTTAAACAGAAGGTGTTTGTGGATGTTTATGTTTATGTTGACCAGTGTTAGGTTTGTTGTTACCTTTGTGTGTTTGTTTTAGTGTGCCTGCGGAGCTGCTGTGTCTTCCAATTGCTCTTATTATAAATTACCTTTAATTTTGTCGGCGCTCGTTTTTTGCTCTTTGTATGCTTTCATTTTTATTGAAAATGCTGTTGACCTAACCAAATTATTGGCCGATAAACACATACACACATATATGCATTAAATACTAAGTAGCATGTAACTCATGTAACTGAACTGATTCACTTTGCCAACGGCAAAATTGAACAAATGGGGCCTGCTTAATATAGTTAACTCTACGTACTTAACTGAAAGTGTGTTGGTTATCGTTATGTCACATTAATTAAGCTTAAGACTACAGGTATAAGTGTAAGTATATGTATGCCTTATGCCTAGTTAAATACGTGAAAATTATTGCCATAAAGTTACAACGTTGTTCAATGCGAATACTGTCAATGTCAATTGGGCTGGCGGCGTTTACAAAAGTACAAAAGCGAAATGCATTGCCTTATGTCAAGTATTTGTAAGTAGTTGTTGTTGCTGCTACTGCTTTGGTCTGCTTATAGCTCACGACCCTTGCAGAAGCCACCGCGCCGTATACGCCTGGTGCTGCCCGTGGTATCCACATCGCCATCCCTAGTGCTGGCTTCCTGCGGCAGCGAGGCAGTGCGCTGCAGCGGACTCGTCTCGTAGTTACCGATTAGTCAGCTAAAATCGACACCGTCGCCATCATCAGAGCAGCCCGAAATGGTTTTGTGGAATGTGGCTGGTGCCATTAGCGCCCGTGCAGCAATCATCTGGAAATTCTCAGAGGCTCGGAAGCCGCTGCGAGTGCAGACGCATCGACAGACGATGCGCTTGAAGGCAATGCGAAACTCGTGCGAGAAGAGCGCATAGATCACCGGATTGATGGCCGAGTTACAGTAGCCCAGCCAGAACAATACCGAGAATACGGTCGGCTGTATACAGTCCTCGCAAAAGGCGCGTATCAGATACATCGTAAAGAAGGGCAACCAGCAAACTATGAAGCCGCCTACAATAATGGCCAACGTCTTGGCTGCCTTTGTCTCCATGCGAAAGCGCTTCACTTGAAACTTTACACTGCGTTTGCCGGAGCGCTTCTTGGCCGACGTCGAGCCGGTCGAAATGCCACTCTCCAGATCAGCTGCTGCTCTACTGGCTGTGTCCAAATTGAACGTGGTTTCGCCAATATCGAAGAGGCTGCTCTTGAATGAGGTGCGTCGTCCGTTGGAAAGATTGCTGGCGCCGCCTTTGGTGCTGCTGCTGATCACTGCATAGTGGGGCGCGGGTGGCTGTTGCTGCGTGGTACCTAAACGTGGTGATTCCAACACATTCTCCGAGGAGGGAAAAGACACCTTGATGGCCACCTTCTCGTGCCGCTGACGATTCACGCGCATCGAAGTGGCTCGCTTGGACGTGCCCAGCTGGGAAGCCGGCACTGACTGCTGATCCTCACTTGCCATGCCCGGGGGAGCTCCAGGTGCTCCATTGCTGTTCACACTCAGCGTCGAGGACATGGAGTGCACCGAGAGTGGCGTACGTTGTGGTGTGCCGCAAGGTCGTCCGCGATGGATGCGCAAAATTAGCTGGGAATCATCCACGCGATTGTTGCCACCCGATTCTCGCGGGCTGCCTGCAATAAGTTAGTGTGGGAATTTGGCAGGATGTCGAAATGGAACTCAATACAAATTTCACATGGAATGCAATCACATGAGGTTGTTTTGGTTGTTTGTGTCGTGAAGACATGAAAACACTTAGGTTGTATCATACATGAGCTTGTGTGTGCGTGATTACTGTTTGCTTCAGTATGGATCAGTATTGATTTTTGATTATTTGTGTTTTCATTGGTTAGAGACAAACAAAATTGTAAGGCTAGCACACATTAGCGTAAAACGGTTATCTAACTACGTACTTTAACATATAGATAATTGTAGCAAAATTTTAGAATTTATCATTAATCATAAAATTATACACACTACTGCAATATATTATAATATATAGTTTATGAATGTATAAAGATTTGTCATTTCCGAATACCAATTTTCATATCATTTTATAGATACTTAGAGCCTACTTTTTGGAGCATGCTATAAAAATTTAGGATTTTCTATATTTTTGAACAGATCAAAAAAATATGCTGCAATAAAGTGTGTTGGAATTAATAGGTAGCAGAATAGACAACATATGTACAAACTTATCTAATTTGATTTGATTGGGTATTGGAAAATATATAAAAAAGGGCAATGTGTTTGTCAATTTGCCGTGATTTTTTATATATTTGTATTTACCGGCACGTGTTGTGACCTAAGGGTATATGCGCTGGGTCTAATAAATTTGGGTTTTTTCATGGTCATCTGGTTACTTATTACGTTCATACATAATACATAACAAAACAGAATTAATTAACGCGGAAATTGTCATTAATTTACGTAAGAGAAATGAGTATATAATTATGCATAATAATGTCAGTCGGACTTACTATCACCATAATTTGATTATTTAATAGAGTCGGTGGAAAATAATCACAATAATGTTGACAACGACATTTCATAGCTTTTGTAAATGCACACAAGAAATCAAGATATAAGAATTCGGATTTAATATAATTTATTTTTTTTACACAAATCCGAGCACTCAATATGGTAAGAAAGCTGCCATGAGCATTAATATTGGCAAAGGCATATGAAATAAATAATTGAGAGTAGTAAAATATGGGAAAAATTTCATTTGCTTGAAAGTAAACAAGAAAACATACGACATATGCAAAAATGTAAATACTGAGGAGAAGCTTTTCATAAAAGAGCCGAACAAAAGAGAAGAAAATCCGTTTTAAAGCTTTTAATAAATTTGAAAGAATTCGAAAAAGGAAAACGTTGAAACGGTAAATATTCCCATTAATGTGAATATGAAAACTATTTTATATTTATTCCTTGATGCGGAAGGCTTGCGTACGGCCGCAGGCATTGAGTGGGATATATGTACATATTTAAGTATAAGCGTGGGCTGCTCCGCAAACAAACAAATAACAAAAAAAAATGTATTTTTCTGCCTAAATTATTGAAAATGGAAATGGAAATGCCACGCAATATGCAAATTGGTCGCTGACAACATCCACCCACAAAAGGAATGACAAAAACAAAATGAGAGAAAACAATAAAAAAATAATAGATTTACATATGTATATAAAAATACAATTTCATCGCACATTTAAGCGCAATCGATTTTGTAGCTGCTTCAAATAATTATAAAATTAATTACTCATCAATTGCTGTTATTTGCAATCTACTTTAAATGTATTGTTGTAAACACATTTAAATGTTTAATTAGTCAGATTGATGTGGGTTTTGTGACATTGTTTTTTTTTTTTATTTTTATTTTTTTTTTGCAAATTGACCTTTGAATCGGCACTCTAGAGAATCTAAGCCAAGTGAATCAGATGCCAGTGAAAGTCGAGGTGAAATCTGAGACAGGCTGGCGTGAAAGTTGCCACGCCTGCTGCTGACACGGGGCCAGGGCCAGGGCCCATTGAAATTGAAATTTTGAAAGCCCTCAGTTTGTGTGCAACTGGCGCAACAACAATAACAGGCTCAAATGCCACGCCTGACACTCTCCTATTGCTGCTGCTACTACTGCGTACATTTTAATAGGCAACGCCATGAACCTCAGCTAGTTTTTGAACTTGAAACTTGATTACCTTCAAAAGCCACTAAAGGGCGAGTGGGCCATATAGGAGAGCTACCCAAACAACAGCAACAACAGCGTTACATACGCCCCCGCATTGTGTCACGAAATGTTTTTAGACTATTGCGTTTCGTGTTGTGTGTTAAAACTAAGACCGACGCGGCAAGTGAAAGAAATGAAGACACGCACGGCAAGTGGCCCGGACAAAAACTATAACAACCTCAGCGCCATTGTGTCTGCATGAGTGCATGAGTGTGTACGAGTGTGTGTGTGTGTGTGTGTGTGTGTGTTTGTGCTTGTGTGTGCCTATGTGTGTTCCAAGGCTGTCGCCTGATGTTCTGCAAGCGGCTGTTTCTGAAAATCTGGGCTGTGTCTTCAAAATAGCGCCAACTAAGGACACACGCCAGCTGCCAAACAAGCCAGCACAACAACAACAGAGCCTTCAACAGCACGATGTCATCATATGCCAGAAGAAAAGTATTTAGGTCATAATTAGCTACATTTAAGAGCCACGCCTTTAATGCTAATGACATTTCGAATCACGTCAATCACCTAAATTTCACGTTGGTGGTGAAAGTTGGGCGTAATTCTGTCGATGCAGCAAGCTTCGTTGTTACAGAGTATCATCCCAATACATAACACTTTTTTATAACAAAATTGTAGGTTGTGTGTATATTGTGTGTGTGTATATTCTTGATTAATTGTGCATACGCTAGTGCTGAATGTCCATATCAAGTGTGTGCTTCAGGTGTACTGTAAGTTTGATATATACTTGCTTAGGAGCGCCAGGGTAAACAAGTGGATTCTATTATGGACGCGAAATATACACAAACTTTTGCTTGTTTTCCCTGTAATATCTATTAATTTTAATAGCTGTTGGGCTTAGCTGAACCCAGCGAAATTATAGCAAGTTTTATTATAATAGAAAAAAAATTCAAATTGTATGTTACTCTCCGGACATTAAACTGTCATTAGGCTTTGGGCAAATTGTAAGAACTTTTGACTGGGCTTTTATTTTGGGATTCGCACCAGAGTAGCTGCTCTGGGTGCACAATTAGCAGAAGCATTGCAAGCACGAATAGCGGCATATTGATTTTTATTATATAACCATTAAGTCAGCCAGTTGGCCCTGTTGTTTGGCTCGGATTAAAGCCAATGCGTGCGCTTGGCTTGGCAACACTTTTCCAGGTAGACCCCAAGTCGACCCCAAGTCGACGAGATTAAAAACCCAACTAGAATTGTGCCCAATGAGCTGATCAGCTGGAAGAAAGTGCGCTACAGGATTGGCAAAATGCTGCTCAACTAATGAGCAACATTTGAGAATACACATACACACAAGTGTATACGAGTTGTTGGACGAGTATTTTATAGCAATTTCAAGGAATACCTACTTCAAATAAAAGTACCAGAAAAAGGCAAAACAACAAATATATAAATTCACACAGCAGCAAGCAAAATGCTGGAGCCCAAACTCATTTCTCATTTCATGCGGAATTTTATACTCTTCCTTCCCTAATGGCTGAAGTTTTTTCATTTCATTTCATTTATGCTGCTTTTTGCCTAAGCCGATTTGTTTGATGTGTTCTCTCATGTTCGTTGATGAGAAACAATGCCAATTATTGCAGGGATCGTAAGCGGGATACTGAGACAAAAAAGAAGACTTCATATATATGAAAGTGTCTTAATTCTAGGATTGAACTGAATTTAAAAGTATTAAATGTGTATTAATTTTCTTTCGTGTATGTGACGGAAAATTTAACTTAATTTAAAGGGAAAGCTCTACATAAAGGGGGGCTTTCAAATATTCTGTGGAGTATTATTGACAATTTTCGGTTTTGGGGTTATTTTAACATTGCATGTATTGTATTTTTAGAGCAATACTTAAATGGGTACACTAATTAAGATAAGTACTAACCTATAAGCTACAAATATGCACATTATCAGTTTATAATATTTATTTGTTAGGATTTTAGTTACAAGGATTTAGTATACAAATTGATAATATTTAATTTTTTTTTTTTTTTTTTGGCTGTAGTCTTAATTAAATTATAAACTTGCCGTTTCCATTTGCACTTGAATTTTCACTTAGAGCTCTAGTTATCAATGTTTGTTTATTTATTTATGTTATTTATAATGTTGTTTGTTTATTCATAATGTATTGAGTGCAGAACACAAAAACAAAATGCCGACAAAAAATATGTGTGGTTATTTATAAATGTAAATTTGGATATTTGACATTTTTATAGAACAATGTCTGGTAATTTATGCAAATGCTGATTGCAATTGTTGTTTTACTGCAATGACGAAGTTAGACACGGGACATATACGCACAAACAGAGAGATGAATTTCTATGTACTTGACTTCCAATATGCTAAGATAACTTATATAAATAGTCCTGCTTCGAATACCGATTTCGAATCGATTCAACATTTTTGATGCCAAGGAAATTATAAATGTCATTTTTATATTGACTGCACTGCATTGATTCGAAATTGGAATTAGAAAAAGGTCTAGTAACTTATAACTCATGGATGTGTTTAGCCTGGTTATTATTGACAATGGCTCTGATGTATTGTCTGTAAAATGTGTATGTGTGTATATGTGTGTTATATTTGACGGACTCTTTTATGTTCATTTTGTTGTGATGTTTTTTTTATTAAATCAAAAAAACGGGGGCAAAGACGTCACACAACAATTCTACACGTTTAGAAGTTTGAAAATTAATTAAGAGTCGATATGAAAATTGAGGATTAAATTGTAAGTATTTATATGTACGAACTACAACCGCTACGTGGGTTACAAAATTTACTGTTTAAGAGTATCAAATTGAATTGAGTGAGAATTATTAGAAAATATTAAAGGGACAAAACTTTTAGCTACGCACAAGTTGCCATAAATTTTGTGAATAAGAATTTTTAAAAATGTGTCCAAATGTTATCTACCGATCTTGATATTCACACTACTATATATAGGATATATTTATTACTCACCCTTTGTGGTCTTGAAGCCCTGATTAATGGCACGCGTGGTGCGCACGGCGGCTCGATAGATGCGCCAGTAGAAGAAGAGCATTACAAACATGGGTATATAGAAGGAGCCCAGTGCCGAGTAGAGCACATAGCCCCGATCATTCGTTAGCTCACACTTCCAGGGGCAACTTGTTGCCGGCTGTGGCATGTTCACCACTGGAGCATTCAACAGATCATAATCCATTTCTGTGCTAGGCGAAATTGTGCTTTTTGCTATTGTGGTTGTCCTTGCTGTTGTTGTTGTTGTTGTTGTCGTCGTCGTCATGGCTGCAATATGTATCTCAGCGGAGCCATCGATTGGCGCAAAGTTGGGATCGTATGGATTGTAAGCATTGCCATTTTCAATAATCGGCGAGGCAGCAGCCTCCTCCTGCTTTTGCTTAATTCTACCTACATCTAGTTGCTCATCCTGTGTACTTGACATTGTGGTGGCATAGTAAAGCGTATAGTTTCCCCGTGTGTAGGTCGGTTGTACCATGGCCTGAAATGCACACGAATGTTTATATATAGAGATGGTTTTTGACGGGTTTTTTTATTAAAAGCTTTATCATCCGACTAACCCATTGAAGTGCTAGTATGTATGATATTTGACGGGTTATATTAAAAGCTTTGTCATCCAGCTAACCCATTGAAATTCTAGACTCGCACACAAACATTTCTGACTCACACATTGCTCACAATAAGCCAATAAAAATGCAACTTAAAGCGGTTTATTTTGCAAAAGATATGCCGGGACGTGTTGTGCATAAATATTATGCTAAGGTGTAGCATACATTTGGGCGCCAGGAAGAGGATATACATATGTACTAAATGTATATACAACATGTGAAAAACTAGTCGGCTTGGGGATACCCTACTTAGAAGGTACATTTCTGTCATTATGCTTTTAAGGCTTGCGGAATAGTTTTAAATTGAATCAAATATCTATGCATAGCTGACCTCGATTGTTTAAATATACATATTTATATCCGAACTGTTTTGAAACCGAACTGTTTTATAATGTATATCACACCCATTTTAAACATATGGAATATATAGGGTGTACGGTAAGTGGAAAGCGTATTAATAAAATGTGCCCCAAACAGTTTAAGGCTTCTTACGAATGCCAAGGGCGACATTTGAGCGGAATACATATATAAATAAATATATATTATATGCTCTGTCATCTGCAGAATTGGCAGGGGTAAATATACACCTGAGTGGAAATTGAATGGAGCCAACTGAAAAGTCGATGAGAGAGTAAGGGATGAGACGCATTCACTGGCTGAGCGGCCCGAAACATAGCACACGGCAGCAAGATAATAATAATCAATGCCACCTGCCGCTGTCTCGTAAATCGAGCTTCAATTATGCTCATTAAGTGAGTCCAAGGCAACTGGGAGACTGTAATGCAATGGCAAACAGAAACGGGAATGCATTCAAAAGATGCTTTCATGTGATACTGTACGTTCATGAGAATGCGGCCGATGGCAACTGTTGCGAGTTGAATGGAGCATTTCGATGGGCAGCTGCCATTAAGATTAAGCGTACAAACAGACCAAGATTGCCTCCAGCTATGAGAGATTTATGGTCTATAGATGTGCTGCCCGAATGACAAACATATTTGTAGGTAGTTCCCACTTGTCAGCTGAATCTCCCCATTAACTACAAAGTTGAAACAATATGGCCAGTAAATTCGACCCAACTTGGCCTAAGGCTCGTTGGACAATAACAACAAGCACTCACACACACACACACACACACACACACACACCCACACATGCTGTGGACAATAAAGTGTTTCAGGAAGTCGTAATTCGTTGGCCCAGTTAGTTGCCATATCGCTGCTGATCTGATTACCCGAGTACAAGGCGCACACACTTGAATTATGCCATGCTGTCTGTTGGCTGGCTCTGCCTGTGTTGCCTTTGCTTCATGTGTGGCACATCATTATCATTGCCATTACATAAGACTCTTTATGCATGTGTGCCAAAAACGACAACACAAAAACGAGCCAAAAATGCTAGCAAAAAGGACAAGAAAGGCTACACTTGATATGAATACCTGCAGCTATGAAAATTGGGAAGAGAGTTGTATAGCTAAGCAGCTGAAGCGAGAGGCGGAAGGAAATACATGAATGCGTCCATGGATTTATGAGATAAGTATAATGTTGTAGCTGACTTATGAACCTATCGATTGTGGGATGCAGAAAAAAAATCAAGCTATAAAGTATAGAGAGGGTATTGTTCTAGTTACAGGGTATTTACCAGCATACACATTTGACTCAAGCAATTTGACTGCTTTTACGGGCATGTTGACACAAATGAGCCACATGGCAGGCTTAGCAGGCCTTCAACGTTTGCCACATTTTCATGCTGCTGGGCAGCGGTTTTGGCCAAAACTTTAACTTGTAATGGTGTCAATGACAGGTCCTATTGAGAACATGGCTGTCCAAAGGGTCGCCCAAGCGTCTAACTGCGGTTTCTTTTGTAGTTGCCTGCGAGACGGTTGCATGCCAAAAACAGTTTTTCTGCCTTCAATTTAGTTCAGTGAAGCACTTTGCACTTTAATTTATTGTAATTGTGGCTGGGTTCATGTGTGTGTGTGTGTGTGTATGTCTGGGTGTGTAGTCAGTTTTGGGCTGCTTACCTCTTGATCTTTCCAGCCAACTAAAGGCGGAAAGCATATAACAAATGAGAGTACCCAAATGCCGGCGATTAAGGACTTGGCCTTCTTCGTTGACATTATGCTTGGATAGGTGACGGGGCGCGTGACTGCCACGTAACGATCCAAAGATATGGCACATAGATTCAGTATCGATGCCGTGCACATCCAGACATCCACCGCTAGCCAAATGCGACACCAGACGTCGCCAAATATCCAAACCTACAATTATAAATTGTTTTCTTTATGTATTTTTCTTCTTAGTAAATATCTCGTTGCAATTACCTTGAACACCTCCCAGGTGGCCGAGAATGGTAGCACCGCCAGGCCCACTAGTAAATCGGCAACGGCCAAGTTAACGATGAAAAAATTGGTAACACTACGTAATTTGTTTGAACAGAAGACGGCGGCAATTACAAGACAATTGCCGCCAATGACCAGTACGTTGATAAACTCGAGTATGGCCAGAGAGATCAGGTTCGCCGGTTCCGTCCATTTCACAGATTTAATGAGATCCTCACACTCTGTCTCATTCATGGCGGTACTTTTGTGATGGGTGTATATTTGTGTTCACCACCTGCAAGCCAATTTAATAAGAAACAGCGAGCATTACTAAAAGCCCATTCAATGCATAATTAGCTCTGTGCTTTAGGCCACACAGGCGGTGCGTGGTCGGCATGCTTAATTAATTAATTTATGAAAATACGTAGATACCAGATGAAAAACTCAAGTGCTGGAAACAAGGCCAACAGAATAATGGCCAAAACAAATAGGTGTTTGTTATGTGGGTCGGAGAGTTTTGTAATATACCTTTTGAAAACTTAAATTAATGCCCAGCGGGGAAATGCCGCTCGGACGCTGACTGGCAAAACCTGGTTAACATGGCTAACGGAAAGACTTACCAGCTATGAAATTGCTTGGCCATAAGCCACAAGCTAGAGCAAAATGCCACTCAACTGGGATTTACAAATAATTACAGGTTAAGTGCTTGCGGAAACGGAAGCGATGATATTTCAGTACTGCAACAATGGCACAGTCAGTGGTGCGCACAGAGAGGGTGTTGTGCAGGGGGAATGGGAAGGGGTCGGCGAGTTTAGCACTTGCCATTCAGTTGGCGTGCACATTGCAATTTAATTGTGGCCATTAATTGTCATCGTTTTAGCCATGTTTATCAAATGTACGTAGCATTCGTCATACTGAATTTATGAATGAACTCGAATGCAAACTCGGATTGCCATAGCGAGTGCTATCGGCTCATCAAACATGCTATAAATACAGCGCAAATTCGAAATACACACACTCAATATTTGCGCTCAATTTGGCCACTAATCAATATTTGTGGCAAGCAGCCGTTGAAATTATTTTCGACTTTAATGCTTGAGCAGCAAAAAGGCAAGAAAAAACATCACTTCATATTGGGCTTGGTTGACTTAATTACTAGGCTTCAAATATTCAAAGCACGCAATAAATCGATTAAATATTATTTAACTTAAGTACTCGCATCAGAGCTGCTTCAATTTTTAATAGACTCGCATTTTGATGCGACAGAGCACAGCTGTTACACCTTCATGGCTTGCCAAATGTTTTGTTTACATACAAAGATTCACCAGGAATCAAAGTAGTTAACAATTGCTGTTGTTATTGTAGACCTTGAAGGGTCGCCAATTGTGCACTTGTATTTGTAATTACTTTCTTACTGCTGTTCAATATTGAATGTCAGAAAGTCATTTCCCACAGCAATCGATTGGGTTTGAGTCATTGTCAAGGAAAAAGCTGACGTTGGTCGAAATTAGCTATTCACAATATGGCCTATGAATTGGCATCAAGTTTTAATTATAGAAAAGCTGTCTTTGTTTTTTTTTTTTGTGTAGTGCCAACTAAAATTCTTGCCTCGTTAAATTGATTAATGCCTAATAAAGTTTTGATTATCTAACAAGAATAAAAAATGCTTTCATGTTCTTGATAAGCATCAATAGCCAAGACAGTTTCATTGAACGCCCAATTTCAGGGTCTTTAAAAGCAAGACATATCGTAGAAAAAATAATAAGTATGCTATACAACATTTAGGTGCTTCCTCTGCACCAATCCAAACTTTTTTTTCAAAAATTCTAACTCCCAATTCAGGCGATTGTATGAATGTAGGTTTAGTGTTTTAGCCGAAGGCTAAAAAAGACTTTAATAATAATAATAATATTCGCAAATTCACCTAAAATTAGGGTATGTTCAAAGCGATTATCCCTAGTCAGAGCGTTCCAAATTGCCTTAAGTCTTGTTATCGTTAAATTTTGTGCATAAATACTTCACTCAAAACTGATATTGTGTTTATTGGCCAAAATGGTAACACAAAACTTTACCCCGTAAGCAGCATTTTCACTTTTACCCATAATTTATAAGTATGCTTTAAGACATTAGGAGTGAAGCAGCGCAAAAAATGATATTCAGTTATAAAGAATATATTAAATTAATAAAATATAAAAGTTCCGTGCCTGAGGTAGCCGAAATTGATCACTACTTGTTAGTCGGGTATTATCGCAGAACAAAGTGTATTAAAGAACGGGGCTGTTGTGGGGTCACAATAAAAGCAATCAGTGGCTCTCAGTGCGGTTGGAAGGCAGCAGAAATTACACACATGACAAACAATATATGTAGTAAACAAGCCAGAAGAGGAAGCCTTTGTGGCCAAGGCTGCCAAAAATGTTGCGGGGCGCCGGGCTTGGGGGGAAGGTAAGGCATGCGCCATAGCGAATTTTGTGAAGCGTTGAAAATTAAAAGCACATACACGAGTTTTCCCTCCTAGTGCAATATTTGTCATTTCATTCTCGTACAAAATTCGCGTGGTAAAAGTGGCTTTATGGCAGCTAATAATGAAAAATGGACAAATTGAGTTACAAGTTGAAATTTGCTAACATTAAATTCTTGTGCATGATAAATAATTGACATTTAAAATGAACAGCGCCTATAAATCCAAAAAAAAGAAGCATTACCCCCCGGCCCACACCACGTATACGCAATTTTTCCTTTTTCGTAACGCATTCGCCCAGTTGACGAAGGATTTACATCCGACGGCATGACGCGTACGGGCTTGGCAGGGCAACGGTAAATTTCAGGGCCCAATGTGCTCAATTTAATTACAGTGGCATAAAAAAGTTGTCTGGATTTCGAAATGGCCATTTAATTGAGAGCCGAAGCGTAAAATTTCAATGAAAGGAAATCTATGTAAATGAAAATATATTCAACTGTAAATAATCTTAATTCAGCACATAGAAAGGCTATTTAATTGAATAAAATCGACACAAATTATGGAGTTTAAATTATCAAAGCATGATAGATTGCGGTCATCAAAACAAATTATATATTACGAGAATAAATCCAACTGCAAGCACTGATGGCCCAATGCGTACAGATTTTGCATTAAATTACTTTATTGAAACTTAATGTTGTAAATTGTATACTATTCAATTAGTCTACTTGGCAGCATATTGTTGTGCACAAGTTTAATTTATATTCTAATTTATTTTATATCTAAAGCATCCGCCTCTTACTTGCTGCACGCCGAAGGGAAATGCGTTGCCAAGCGCCAAAGGAGTTGTAGCAAGCTGTTAAGTTGAAAAATCCTGACGGAACTATGATATCTCTTTGTGCAAAGACCTAAACGCATATCAGATTTAACCATGCCTCGGGTTGGAGCTTTGTGCTTGTTTCTTAATCTTTTGGGTCCTAGGAGAATGGTAGGTGGATGAGCTATACACTGCAATGGACCAATTATGTTCTAAGTGAGTCGAGGGTAAACTGCCGTCGGCTACCTAACTAAGAAGCAAGAATTCTGTAGAAACACAGAATGTACTGTAAACGAAAGTTTCTCGCTTTAATTGGTGACCTGCTGGAAAATTATAGTTTTCAGAGCAAACAAATGCAAGTACTTAGACTTAAGACTAAGCGTAAATTAAAATGAATTTACAATTCCCAGCACGGAAGTAGCTATCTGATGTAAGACTTAGCCTTAAATTTAACAAAACACGTGTTTTTCGACCTCAAAGTTATATAATAGCTTAGAAGGCAATTAGTAACTGTAAGTAATACGGTTAGTAGACATGTTTAACTCTTTTAAACATATAGATGATTGCGTAAGCAGGTTAGAATCCAATTTTCATTTATCCATGCACATTTATCAAATGTATTGCGTAGCCAGCCCACGATTTAGCCAAAAGATTCACCGCTAATTAGTGCAACTTGCAACGCGTCAAAAAACAAGTAGAATTAGATGCAAAGTTTGCAACAATTTTATATAAAAGTGCACCATTAAATGCCACATAGCATCACAAAATGCCACAAAATACACAGAGATAGAGCCAAAAGTTTGCGGTCACCGCATTTCAATGTTCAAAACCCACAGGAACTTTTAATTTAAAGCTGATAATTGCTCGCGTATTGCGCACATAAACAAAATAAAACCGACGAAATAACTACTCGTAAAATATAAATTTTGCTTGACTTCAAGTTGAGCTTTAGCATTACACAGAGCATTTTTTGTGGCTTTCGTGGATGGGAAAATTGCAGTGAAAAGTCCTTGAGCCCTTACAGTTTTGTGGCACCAAAGTGGTTTTTACCAAAAGCCAAAACTACACTTGAATTTAATCCGCAATGTATTTAGTCGGCAATTCAGGTCTTTTGCCAATGGAATGCATTATTATTATAATAATCCAACTGTAACCGTTGGCAAATTAAAGCCTATGTGTCAAATTAAAACAAAGGCTAAGAATTGCTTAATGTCATTAAGAGTAGCTTAAAGACTTAGCTAAATAGTTCAGCCATTAACAGAGTCTTGAAATCCTGGGCAACTAGTGTGCCGTTCATCTCTGCTGTTTAATGCTCTTTTTACGAGCAGTCGTGCAACGTGTAGTGGCACGTTTCGGTGGCGTATACGTAACTTTTACGAGTCGCACTTAGCTCATAAAAACGACGCACTCGCTGCCACTGTCACAAGTGACATGTAGATTTATTCTTAGAATTTATTGCCACACATTCGCCTAACAGTAACTGCAATTCGCATTCCGCACAACACGCGGCCTTAGAGCTGTGTAAACTTGACAGTTACAATATAATCAATGTCTATGGCACATATCATCATGTCAATGTTGATTGCAACACGCAGAGCAAGAGTCGACGACAACTGCAACTGAGTCGCTGCAGCTGCCACACGTGCCACATTCCAGTTACATGTGCTTTTCCTATTTGCTGTTGACATGTGTGAATTGCCTAATACAAGCTGGCTGTGTCCCTGTGGTACCGAAGGCCTCTAACTGTGCAGAGTACAGAATGTGCGTGCTTTTATTAACAGCGGAAAAGGGCACCGGAAATATAAACAGGAAATGTTACCAACAATATTTTCAACACGCCAACATTGACTAATTGCACACACACGCTTAAATTTTTTCAGATGAATGAGTGGTATAAATATTTTTAATTGTGAATCAAAATGTTATGCATGGCTAAAAGAAATAAGTTAAAGTGTTCAAGTCTAGAGTGTGCGACTAGGAAACAGCCTGTGCCCAACATAACTTTAAGTTTGTGCTTTAGAAATTTGCATGTCCTATAAGGTGTCTTTGTCTTCTAATCCTTAAAACATTTATTCAAAATTTATATATATTCTTGTGTAATTTTTGAGTTATGTAGTTCGTTTATGAATACGGACAAGCAGTCGAAGAAAGCTAGACCGATTCAGCTCATCACCAGGCTCACATTTGGTCAGAGACACACATCTTCATGACCTTCTTTAAACATCTTTAATGAGTAAAGGGTGATTAAGTAATGCACAGAGCTTATCTCAAGTGAGTTGTAATTCGGGAAATCAATGCAACATAATTAAAATCATTAATATTTTCGAATCACGCGCACTTACCAGTAGCAGCAGGTTGTTGGGTATTTGTAACCATGAATTACATTTAGTTCGTTGCTGTTGCCTTATTATGGCCATGTTGTTGTTTTGGCTGATGTTAGCAAACACTGGCCAATGCGAATGCCCCGATAGCTCCGTCTGCTTGCCGTGGCCCGTTGGCGTCCACGCGTCGTCTCCATTCAGAACATAGAACTGTTTAGCCTTTGTGCCTTGGTGTCCTATGCAAACAGGGTCTTTGAGTTGCCACTACTGTCTGTTGTTTGTGTTTACATGCAACAATATGTGGCACGAATCACTTTGAGCTACACTTTCATTGGCATCCTTGGCACTCACTAAGCCAGCGGCACATTCATCAGCAAAATGTTTGCACGACTGTTTACACGACTGCCTAAAAGCTTGGGCTTGAACGTGTCGGTATAAGCTGTTTTATTTTTCTTCTTTTTTTTTTTCTCTGTTGTCAGATTGTCAGTTTTTCAGAAATATGCTGCAAACGAAGAAGGAGAGAGAGAGAGAAGTGAATGAGGTGAGCGAAGAGCTTTATACGTTGCACCTGTCGTATACGCAATGTGACTTAATGCCACCTTGGCGCTATAAAGTAATAAAGAGCACAGTTACTACAGATGCTACACTTAAAACCAATAGCAATAATACTTGAAATTTTTCACAATTACTCGCCAGCGAGCAGAGTAAAACCGTAATCAAATTTTAATTGCCGCAAATAGTTCAGTTTTCAATAACTTGTTTGCCAACAATTCTCAAAACACAAATCACCTGTTCATTTGCTTAGTAAGCTGCACTATATAGTTTAAAATTGCTATTAGTACATTTTTTCTGCAAGTGTGCAGCTTCATTTTAATTTGCAAGCTAAACTGCATATTTTGCGTTAATTGTAAAATTTTGTCAAGATAAATAAATGTGAACGAGAGTATTGGATTTTAGACAATGAAATTGCCTGTACTTCACCCTTTAGGCTGCCTACGTGTATGGATTGATTAATTTGCCTTTCAAGGCGCATTGCGGTTGCACTTTTGAATTGTGTTCCCTTTGGTTCCTGCCCAATTCTCTCATTTCATGCGCTGTCATTTTCAAGCTTGGCAGCATTTTTCACAGGCCAACAACTTGTCAGATAGTCTTTTCCTTCTTTTCACCAGCTACGAAAATGAAACGTCAAAGTGCAAAGTATGACAAATTGCATTTCCATTGTTAATTTGTATGCATAGCTTGATTCTCCACTCCATATCCGTTGGCCATGCAAATTAGCTTTAACATTGTTATACATACACACATACAAATATATTTTCTTCTGCTTTGCTCCCAAAAACTTTTTCAATTCAAGTTCGCTGAGCCTTCACTATTGAATATTGAACAAAAATCAATAAACATATTATGTTAAATATTTTAACGATTTTTTGTCCCGACCAAACGCTTTGATAATATGCGCACGCACAAAATTTTGTTGAGATTATATTGAAACATGCACATATGTAATCTGGCTTATATAATTATCAGGAAAAAATCTAAAAGCCATTTAAGCACAAAGGTCAAAAGTTCTTCAAAGTTCGCTATGTGGGCGCAATTTAAATACTTTGACATGAGCTTTGACATATGCATAAATGACGTAATAATCCAATTCATGTGCTCATTATTTAATATATATATATGAACATAAAATAAGTCAAATGGGAATCATTATTGTGTAATAACTTATTTAGCTTTCATTACTATAATCTAAATCTGTTGAGGTTTGTGCGCCTCGACACGCCTTTGAATTTCGGCTTAACAATGACAACATTGGACATATATATAGTTATTTTTGGGCAGAACTTTGGGACATCAAAATCATTTGTGGCAGCTAATTTCCATTTGGACGGCTAATGACTTTGGTCAAAACGTGTCTCCCAAAATATGCGCCTTAATATTTTCTAATTTATTAAAGCTTCAATAGCTTATAGCTGCTTAACATGAATATGCTTGTACATGAACGGGGACTTGAGTCCAAGTTTATTTTTTAAATATTTAATTATTCAAAATGAGTAATACAATAGCCTTGGTTCCCAATTTGTTAGAGTGTTATTCTTGCGTTGTCACTTTTAATTTTTTTTTGTAATTATTTATTTATTATCTTTTGATGGTTGACAAACTCGGCGTCACAGAATTAGAATACATGAATTTGTTAAAAAAAAGAAGAAAAATAACAGATACGCTGGGGTTATTTCATTATAACTTTTCTCGACTAACAGAACATGACAAGTAAATGCTTATATAATTCTTGAAAACAATTGCAATTTCTTTAATTAATAAACAAGCATACTTTTCGGCAGACCAGAATTATTAAACTTACTTTTATTAAGAAGCTTAAGATTAAGACATGATTTGTTGAGATATAAAATACAATAATGTCTTGCTTCTAATATGTAGAAAGGATACACTACAATCAACAGCCACAAGGAATTGAGATTTAGTCTGAGAATAATATGCATATGTCATGTAATACATACTCGTTAAATAGATCATATATTTTGTTAAGTGTTTAGCTGTCGTGTGTGACCATTAAACAGGAAATTTAAAATGTGCAGACCTTTAGAAGATTATATGACATAAATATTGCCATTATGGCCACTAAAGTCCAACTTAACTGCCATGGAAAATGACTAACAACACCAACAACAATTGGCCAAGTGCTGTTTATCAATATGTGTATGTGTGTGTGTGTGCGTGTGTGTGTGTGAGTGTGTCACTAACAAGGCGAAATCACTCGACTGAAAAACAGATTGAGATTTAGACTAAATGCCACTTAAGTGTCGGGCACAACAATTTCATCCTTCACATCTCTTCTTAAAGCTGTTTACCATCATTTGTGCTTCATTCACTGTGCTCTCACTTGCGTAAATTTGTGCAAAAATTCCCTACAACAATAACACCAACAACACGAGCTGCATGCTACTTGCATTAGTGCGCGTCCGACTGGGGTGTCGAGGCGCTTTCCTTGCAAAACGCATTGTTAGGGCAGCTGCAGCACTCAAGTGTGCGGCAATATGAGTGTGTGTGCGTGTGTGTGTGTGCGTGTGTGTTTGTGTGCGTGAGCTTGAATGTTTTATGACACTTTTGCTCATTGCTGGCCCAAATGCACACACAATATATACACACACACACACACACACACACATACAAAGCCATCTACTTGAATGCAAAATGTATATACATATGTTAATGTAAAATGTGCTGATGCGAAGCGAGCGGCTAGTTCGCTTCCGTCCAACAAAAGGATGTATGTGCCATGCACAACAAATAGGAAAATGTACACAACACTTACACACACATACGTGCAGCTAGGGGGAGAGAAAGAGAGACAGATGGATGTGTGTGTGTGTGTGTGTGTGTGTGTGTGTGTGTGTGTGTGTGTGTGAAACGCTGTCTTTGGCTTTGCATAAAAAATTGGCTGTGAAAACGCTTTGGGCAAATTTGTTTTCAGTTTTGCGCACACATTTCTCACACTCCGCTCACATTTTCAGCAAGTTTCCCTTTCATGCTGTTTCGTGTCGTTTTTTACAGATGTGTACTTTTATTTAAGTTTTTTACATTTCTCACATTTTATTTGCCAGTTTGCTTTTTTTTTATTTGGCATAGGAAAATTTTGTTTGTGGCCACAACGCAATGGCTAAACCGTTTTCAATCCTAAATAACTTATGACCCTAAAAGTTACTTAGTTTTGAATATAAATTACAAAATTTTAGAAACAATTGCGGCTCGCATTTCGTTGCCGCATATGTGTTAGACACGCAGATATTTTAAATTATTTGTGACTAAATTTGAGTAATTCTATCTCGTTAAATCATCTCGGATACTAAACTTTCATTGCGTTACAAATGGCATAAGACCATTATAACGCCCTCGCGTCCATTTATCCTCTGAAAGTAGTAGCTCAAATTCATAGGAAAATCTCACAGCTTTTCACATACATTTTTTCACTCTCACACACACACACACATATGTAGTTGGTTAGGATCATTGAGGCGTGTCGCCAAAGTGCCTCATAAGCGGACTAATGAATGACGCCGAAATAAACGCATGAATGGCTGCCAAAGCAGACATGCCCTTTGGCAAAAACTTTGCAAGTGAAATATAAATTAAAACTGTGCTTTCAATTAGCCTAATCGCAATTGAGAGCGTTGCGAACAACACGCACGAATTAAAACCGAAAGCAAATCTATTTTAATGGAGCTCTGTAAAATGTAATCAATTAACAACTTGCCTATTCACGCACACCCGCACACAAGCCGAAGAACAAAAGCATAAGGTATTCAATGGGTATTTGTTATTTTCATTTCTGACATATTTATGCATTTTTTGACTACAACAACTACAATAACAAAAACTTGGACAGCAAATAGTTTTTGGGCTGTGGCATTGAAAATGAAATTGAAATTGAACAGAGCTCAGAGCACAGAAAAAAAACACACAGAGCACAGCACATTGCCAAATTGATGAGTTGTTGCCATTTCGGAATGCCAATCAAAATGACAAAACAACACAAATCAAATCCATAAATTGCAATACAATTTTTTCTGTATTTCATTTAATTTGATTTACTCTACGTCTGCCAGATATATGTAACTTGTTAGAAAATTTTGTCGTTCTTAGCAAGTAGTTGCAGCAGACAGCGCCAAACTGTGTGTAAACTAAAAACTAGTCGAAAAGTTACTTCTTGTTCATTTCTCGGGTAGTTTTTCAAACTTTCGAGCTGTGACTTTGTAAAACATGAACTTTTGATATACTTGGGTTCTATAAAAGCCATAGTCGCAATATTTTGGATGAGTAAAGAAAATCTTCAGTAATCCTGCTACTGAATTTGCTGTCTTTCGGTCTAAAGAAATGTAGATCTATGTAGGTCTCTGAGAGATGTAGACTTAGATGAGTTATCGCTCACTATTTGTCGAGGTAAAAAGTTGTTGGTTTGAAACTGAAGTTATTTCAAGTGAAAAAGCATTCGGCAAAGCAAATATACACCTGTTCACTCTGCACCAGAGTATTATATTTTTGTTTTTTAATAAATTACTTTATATGTTTAGCTATACTTATAAAAAGCAATATTGTAATCATTTTAAAATGATATAACATTAATAATCAATCAGCTAGCTTGTAAGGGTATAAACAATTCGACGGCTTGATATTTTTTGTTTCTTTTGCATAATAATCAAAAATGCAAATGCAGCTTTGTTATCGCATCGGGAAAACAATTTAAATGCCAACAAATGCTCATATGCGCCAGGGGCGTGGCTTGCAGCGCCCCAAAAAGGAATTTGATTCGATTGCTTGTATGTCTGTCTGTCTGTCTGTCTGTCTGTCTGTCTGTCTGTTTGTCTAGCTGTCTGTCGTTTGACTGCTTTTACATTGCATTGAATGGCAGATGACTTTGACAATGACAAAACTAAATGACAAATTATTAAAGTGAGCAGAGCAAATCATTTAAAATGACTTCCTTGGTGTGCAATTAATTCAGGGGTGACATGAAAAAGTTACCGCCATTAATTGACATTTTCTTCTGGGCATTTTATGCAGCGTAAGAGCAGGCACAATGACTGTAGGTGTGTGTGTGCGAGTGTAAGCGTGTGCAGTTCATTTGGCACGTTTCGGGTATAATCCCAGTTGGGAGTATAATTCGTTGGAAGTCACTGTTGGGACAGCTAGGAGCGCACTCTACCGTCTGGCAAAGCTCATTTCCGTTTTATATTTAAACACTTGAGGCTAAAATGTTTGCTTTGCCCAATGCTCCGAGCTGCGACGCACAAGCGCAGTGCAAAATCATCATAAAAAGGCAAGAAATGAAAAAATAAATAGCCAGCCAAAGAGGATGCCAAGTTCTTGTCTATGGCTAGCTGGCGGAGCAGACGGAGGTGTAGTTGGCAGTGCTTAGAAAGTGGATTTTTAAATTAGTTTCCCGACTTCTACACAGGCATGCAGCCGAAAAGGCGCAAGGACGCAGGACGAACGGTTTGACGTCCTTCTTGGGGCAAATGGACTTCCAAGCCATTGGTTGTGACATTTTGGTGCTTATTTAAATGAATTAAGTGATTTTTCAAGTGCTAAGCTCGCCACGAGCTGCAAACTCATTTCCGCTCACTTCGCATTCGCTGTTCTTGCACCAATGCTGCCCAAGAAGTTGCCGCTTTAAGCTTCATTTGGCTTCCATTTTTTGTGGCTACAACGAGCTGTTTATTTACAGGCAATCAAAACTTTAACAACCGCTCGCAATTTGCCCGTCGGTGCTTTACGACAGTCTATCTATTTAGATGGGAACGAAATGTCCCAACAGAATGCAAAATATTACTAAACCTGCTATTAGGAAATAGTCAATTGTTTGTGCACAGAAGATTCTCTATTTGGTCGTAAATATATACACACACATACATACTATATATTAAGCTGCAGTATTTGAGTGCTGTATGGCCAGGTGAAATTTGTGTGCTGCAAGCGGGACAGGTAAAACGGTTTCAAGCTTTTCTGTTAAATTTAGGAAAAATAGATAACTCCTGAATCCTGAGGGTCGCATTCATACTCCATAGTAGCAGCAGTATTTATTTTCGTTTAGATACTTCAAGTGAAAAAAAAAAATGTAAAGATAATCGAAAAAAACATATTTTAATTGAAAAAGATGAATATTCAATATACCTTCTAGGGTATAAACTTATGTTATTTAAACATGTGGCCTCATTAGCAATTTGTCAAAGGCAATATATGCAGATATATGACCAAATTGGTTTTTCCTTTTGTTTGTTGGCGCACATGGCTCACGCATCGTATGCGTAATAAAGTTTACCAGGCAGCCTTTATCATTGTTTGTTCTCCTTACCGGCCCGTGTGCCATGACAGACGTAAGGTAACAGCATTGCAATAAACTGTCAAAGTGGCACGACAACAAAAAAGCGTTTCGCTTTAAACAAGCGTACACAATTCATGAAAGGGCTGTACAGTGCCCCCGCCTCGGCTCCGCTCGTACTTTTTTGGCCACATTGTTGGCTTCTTTACCTAGGGGCTGGAGTCGTGCTCGAGCTGTTTTATTGTTATATTATTGTTATTTAATGCCAGCACACACTAACTGCAGACACCTAAAACAATTTTATAACCGACCCATAAATAAGTATATATTCCAACTGCTTTCCTTATAAGTACGTGTGGCTCTCTGTCTCTCACTCTCTGATAAAGACTGCCCTCGTCTGGTTAGCCACCCAGTCACCAGCTACCAGTAGTAAGTTTCCATTTCCCATACCCACACAAACACACACACAGACACACACGCACACATACACACATTTGTTATACATTTTGTTTGTTGCATATTTAAAAAAAATGTTCGCTTTTGTTTTGGTATTCCACTGTTCTAAAGAATCTCAGGTTTCATTGCCTTATGCACGTAGGCTGCGTCTGTCGTTAAATTATTATTTTTTATTTCTGTATATATTGCTATTGCTATATAGACAAAGAAATGTTGAAAACGATTTTGCATGCATTCACTGAATGCAAAGCATAATAAAATTCATTGAGTTTGATATGTGTACAAGCAGCAAATTGTCTGCATGTAGAACAAATCGAGTATGTGTACTGAGGCCCACTCTCTAAGTACATACATGAAAAAGCTTTCACGCGCATTATTAATTAATTTGCGTTTCTTTCGGTATTGTGCTTTTCTGACCTATGCCAAGTCATGTTTGCGATTGTGGACCCTTTTCGACTGTCAATTTTAATTGCCCCTGTGAAATTGACACTTAAGCAAAGGGCTGGAATATTATCAATTTGGCATTGAGCGCTAAATGTGCTGAATCGCAGTTAACCATGTGACTTGATATTTTGCATCTTTAAATGTTGCTGAATGGAATATAGGCTGAAAGTAAATCAATGCCGAAACAGTTATTGCCGCTGTTTAACGCGTTCGCAGGTGATAATCCCTCCAAAGCCTTGTTGCAACTTTGTTGCTCAGGTAACTCGCCAGCGTTGTGTTTATTGCGATATACCTATTGATAATTCGGCTAAACGTTCTATTCTTGTGCTATTCTTGTGCTATTCTATTCTATTCTATTCTTGTGCACGCCCAAAAAAATTCTACTCAATTAGACTACTGGAATTACTATAATAAAATCAGTTTCTAGTTAAGCACGTGCCATATTTAAAAAGCCGCAAAATGTCGCACAAACAACAATACGCGTGTTTCTTTAATTGCATTTTGTAATATGCCCTTCCGCCTTGTTGCTAATTACGCCGTAAGTTGTCTCAAACAACGAAAATATATACATATATATATATATATATATATATATATATAAATATATATAGAATAACAAAAAAGCGTGAAAGAAAATCGAAAAAGGCAACATTTCCATAGCTACAGCTCAAGCAACAGCGAATTGTAATTAGCTGAAGTTGCGAATTTACGGCTGGTGCCAAGCGCAATAAAAATCATTCAAAATCGTTGCACTTGAGAGTTCAGCCCTGAAACGATACCAGGCCCAAAAACAAGAGACGCCTATTGCAAATATCAATTTGCATAGCTAAACGCCGCGGGCAAACAGCTCGACAAAAAATACAACGACAAACAAAAAAAAAAAAAAAAAAAACAAAAAAGTGCGTTTCGCTCGGCTCGAGACTCACCTGAATAAATCATTGCGATCGTGAAGGCGACGGCGACTCTGGGCGAGATTAGAGACGCCAAATTGATTGAAAATTCGGTCAAGTTTTAGTTGTTTTTAGTTGTTGTTGCTGCTGCTGCTGCTGCTGCTGCAGTTGATGCACTTAAGAGGCGGCAACCGGCTTGACAGTTTGTTTAAAGTTTGTATATTATATTTTTGTTGTCTCTTACGCTCCAATTGTTGTTGCTATTAAATTGTTGTCACGCATTATTTATGTTAGCTTTAACATATTTCATGATTGGTTTATCTATAGCATGAATTGTTTGCTTGTGCCAGCTGAAATAAAATTAATTTGTTAATTGCAAGCACACAATTTATGGCTAAATATTTATTAGCTGTCATGGCGCATTCATTGAAATATTTGCCAAATAATAATTGTAAAGTGCTTGAACGATTAGCTGACATCATGATTAAAGTATTGACAGCATTCCATATTGATATCAAACAAATCTAATTAACGGAAAATGGATAATATGCAGCGGTAACAACTGGCTTTATATCGAATTGTCGTATTTGTAAAATTAAATTTGCTTTGTCTTTCTATTTAACAGTCATTATGCAAATGGGGGAACATTAAAAACAATGAAATTATTTCCTAACGATGCTAATTGCCGACAACAAAAGAAATAATTGTGGCACACACACACCCACACACACACACACTCATACGGTAATACACATAACATGGACAACAAAAATTACAACACGCGAAACACAATAAAATCACATAAAAGACATGTTACACTTGATACAAAAACTATGAATGCATAACAATTGAGCTCTGAGTATATAAGTGCACTCACTTTCACAGACACACTCGATTCTTGATATATTGCTTTAATTATTAATATTATTTCGAATTGTTGCCCAAAATATAATTATGCAGTGTGAAGCACGTAGCCGTTGCAGTTGTTCAGCGTGTGTCATTGCCCGAGAAGTGTTCACTTTTGAATACCATCAGTGATTCATATTATTCAGCACATTATTCAATTAATTCACTTGAACATCACTCGACAGCGGAATCCTTGCACTTTTGTTCAATACGAGGACTCGACGGCAACTGAATGCGTAAAACGGAAACGCGGCTGCGATCACGACTTCGTTGCACGACACCGAGCGCTCTTAGCTTCGGCGCCCACACACATACACACACACACGCACTCACACACAGTCGCACATAGAGTACGTATTCTTTTGTACCGTTATGCACGGCTTAAAATTGGCGTCAACATGAACGTTTTTATGCGTTGCACAACCAACGCGGCGGCATTTTCAACACAAACTGATTGGCAATTCGATTCTAGTTGGCGCCACAGCGCCAAGCGGAACGTTCTGGAATTGGAACGCGCACAGCACACCACAGTAAGTTTTCCAATAAGACTGAACAGCAACAGCCGCTGCCGTTGTTGCTGCTGTTGTTGCCGGCGACTGCCTTGCTCGGCTATGGATAAAAATCGCATGCGACAAATTTGGCGAAGATAAAATTACTTTTGGCCAAGTGGTATATCAATAACGCGACTAATTAGTCTCACTTTTTGTTGTTGTTTTTATATCGGGTATATGGACGGAATTTCGTCTTAAAAATTTTGTTTGAAACGCGGCGACTTGTTAGCCATTTGACGCCGCCTTGGGGGCGGCAGAAGGGCGAATCGAAAGGACGCATAATAAATGAAGAGCATCAAATAATTTGCTTTTGACCAGCAGAATGCGACAATAAGGAAAAAGGGGGGCTCGCACCGCTTACCAAAGTGTGAGTTTTACATCAAATTGGGCTGGGTTTTCCGTTTTGACGCTCCCTTTTTGCTTTATGTACAATTTTTGCCTGATGAGCAAGTTGACATTGTCAATTTAGCAAATTTTCTTTTTTGATTTTCCAGAAAATTTCGGCTCCTTTTTTGCTAACCACTTTTCCTTTTGGCGGTGAATGCTTCGATTGGATTTTAGCAGCTGATTTGATTGCACCCTATAACAAGGGCCTATAACCAGTTAGCCAATATGGCCAATAGGCTAACTAAAAGAGTTATTGGGATGATATGAATAAAGAGAACCTTTTTACTTGGAAGGGGCGACACAGAAAGTTGCGCATTTGATGCGAAGGCGCACTTTTAGGTGTTCGTTAAGATTAAGAATTCAACTTTTAAATTTAAGTTTCAGCCAGATACACAGTGAAAGATACCTTTAAAGCATGCTTGGACTGTTTTTTTTTTTTTTTGCTCAACCGTATGTAGGATATTTTTCTAGGATCTATGGTCTATATATCTATGATATAGCTTCTATACGTACTCTTTCTGGTACTGGTTCCAGATGTCAACACTTTATTTTAGCAATCGTTGACATTTGTTTACTTGGAACACCAAATTGGTAGCCAGTGGTGCGAATAATACACAATATTCGCCCCAGATACGCTCGCACACAGATACACGAACACACACTCGCACACACGCACACACGCACTGGCACCCTCATAAGTGGCAACAGCCAGAATTCATCGCTAATTAGGATAAACAGCTGTTGCCAAATTAATTACATATGATGGGCACATGAACACATAAGCAAGGCTCGCCCATCGCTCAACAAAAACAAATGCAACCTTTATTTGGGCTGTCTGTTTACCCACTTTCCGAAACACCACGCCCCTCCTAACAACAACCCCTTACTAAGGCGAATGTAATCATAATGAAAGACGAACCGCTTTTATTTACCCCATTCACTTCGTATCTCAAGCTGGCAATCCCTATGCCAGCAATAAATCTGACAATCAGCTGCCAAGCGAAAAGAGAAACTTTTGTTGAATGGCCAAAAAGGAAACTGCAGGCAGCTCGACGGTGCGCGCTCCTTGTTAATTTGCATAAACAGCCAGAAAATCCACTTGGACGTTGCACCTGACAGTCAGTAAGTCACCAGCAAAAACTGCTGACTGTGTTTGGCTTAGTGAGGGTGGGGGAGCGTGGGCCAGGAGCAGGGGCAGGAGCAGGACACGGTGCTCAGCATGCAATCTGGAATATATTATGCTGCTTAAACGTAAAGTGACTTGGCCTGTGTAAGAATTCAACGCCTTGATCTGAGTGCATATTGTCAGGCAGCTGCTTGGGTCGCCTTTCAGCCATACAAAAGAATTTAAAGCACTGCAAAAATATTTACACAAAACTTTGTTGCACGAGCTTTTTGCTCGAGCTGTGGAAAGTTTTCGCATTTCCCCTTAGCTTCACAATGTTATTGTTACTTTATTGTTGCCCCAATTCTTGGAAATTGCACACAAATTCTTATAATCAACTTATCTGACGATTTTGGGTGTTCAATTTGCACAAAGCTGATTACACAATTTTCATACTTTGCATCACCAAATCCCATGAATAGCGCACACCCACACACACTAAAGGTATTCGGATCTACAGATTTAATTTTTTTTTTTTTGTACTCTTTACCTTTTTTTTTATTGATTTGGTACTTTACAATTAAGGACTCAGACGCAAGCGAGTTAATCATATTGGACAAGAAACCGACTCTGTCGGAGAAGCTGCTTTAAAATGTACTATTTATTTATTTGAAGAACAAGTTCAGAAAAGTACAAGTTAATTTGAATTAAAAATCTACTGACCTACTTGTAATGCTGCTTAACTTGGCATGAAAAATATAATTAATTAAACTCAAACTTTGTTCTAGCTAAACTCTCAAACAACTTTAAGGCTTTTTAAAATGATTTAAAATGCACGCAAAATACCAGCAAAACATTTTAAACATAATTTTTGAAACGGTTCTCCGAACTTTGAATCGCTGTAACATGCAAAATGTGCCAAAACCTTATCCATGCTCAGATATTTTGCAATTACGTATTGCATTAAAGTTCCATGATTTTTAGAAAAAAGACAACCTTTTATTGGAATAGAAGAAATACACTTTAAGTTCGGCTCACATTGCCTTTGCTGTTGGCTTCTGTTTTATTTCTTTTCTTCTGCTATTATTGCGCCTTTGATTGCGTATCTTGATGCTTGGATTTGTATCGTTGCTTCAGCGGCTTGAGGTCGTGTCTCCTGCTTGTTATTGTTATTCTGTATTTCACGGAAGCCGCCCCTTATGCGACTGTTTTGCTGGCACTGCTGTCACTCAAAGGCAAACACCTGTAATAAATATTCGTTTGTCGTTTCTGGTTTACGCTTTCGTTTCGCTCAGTTATCCTGGTTTTCTGGCTGCCTGCCAGATACATTTCGCTTGATTTTCCATGCGAGCGCACAGCAACAGCAGCGAAAAGAAAATCCAGCAAAGGAAAACTGCCTCGTTGGCACATTTTCATATAGCATCGCCTGAGAACTTAACTCAATTCCCATTCAAGCAGTGGTAGAGCGCATAAAACGCCAACAAGGCAACAGCCCCATCATTGGACCAACAGCCCGAAAGAAGTGCAGCCACGCACTTGATGTCAAAAGCACCAAAGCAGCCCGAGTTTGCTAGCCACGCTTTGGGGCCGTTTACCGGCGATGGCCACATTTGGTTGCACATGTTGCACGATTAACGTAGCACATATAATTAAACGTGTAGACCACACCTGCTTAATGCGGCGGCTGTTGCTGCTGCTTCCTTTCTACTAGACATTTGAGCAGGATGCTGCCCGGCAGGAGTGCAGGAGTCGCACTTTCATTCTGGCTGCAGTATGTCACCATTCTCGCACATCTGAGCACTCAGTGTGTGTTATTAATTGCGTAATTTGTTTATTAATACACAAATGAGCACACACCTGCAGCAAGAGCCGTTACCTGTGCAATCCACTTACATTATGTGCACCTAAAAGCCGTACGCTGTAAACTCTAAGCGGGCCAAGACCTGGCCTGGAGGATGCTCTCTATCTGTGCAAAGCTAGAGCTTGTTGTTGTTTCTGATGTTGTGTTTGTTGTTGTTGTTGTTGTTGTTGTTATTCCTGTTACTTATTCAACGCAATTAGCGAACTCACCTGCCTCGGCCAACGTTCTCCACAAATTCTAATCACATTTCAACTGTTCAACATACAAAAGTTTTGAACAAACTTTGCAGCCAAGTGTTTGACTTGCAATTGAAGAATTTTGCTTCAGCATTTTTCCCATACTCACACACACACACACATACATTCACACATTTTGTATGCGCTGGGGAGTTGACTTGTGGGCCATAAATCAATTTTTATATTCTGCTACTCCGGCAGGCTCTTCCTTGCTGCTTGCTGCTTCTGCCTGCTGCCAGCTGCCTTCATTCGCTTTAATTGCCTGCACATGGAAAATTCTAATGGCAAACACGAGCGCAAAGCTCCTCATAGAGACCATGAGAGTAGCTGGTAACGCTTTAATTAAATTATAATTACCAGAGTCTTGTTAGCACAATTACAGACACCGCCACAGCCGTAACCAAGCAAGGCTACGTGTCCGCACATCAACATGTGGCCTTCTACCTTAAGCTCAAGTCAGCGCCACTTACCACATTGACTTTAACATTATTTTCCCTAGAATCCATTTGCTGAGCGCGATTTTTTCAGAAAAAAATAACACAGATGTAATTCCATTGTTTATTTGCACGCTCTGATACCCTGTACTCAGCATTAAAATATAAAATTGTGTGTGTGTGTGTGTGTGTGTGTGTGTGTGTGTGTATGCATGTGTGTGTGTGTGTGGGTACGTGTGTGTATGTGTGTTTGTATGTGTGTGTGCGAGCGAGCAAGCGAATCAGCAAGCGTGTGATTGACAGAGCCTAGCTAAGGCAGCAGACGAGCAGAGCGAAGAGATCTGAGAGGAATTAAATCATAACGATAGAAAGAAGAAGAGCTGACAGTATAAATACAGACGCCTCTTGATGGTGGCATTCAGTAGAAGCTGCGAGGCAGCCAGTGAAGCATGGAGTGCGCTTGCTCTAACAAAACTAAATTGCAGCAGATCGGAAATGGAAGCTCTCCCAGGCAGTATATGTAAATACAACTGATCGATCAAGTTGGTATCAGTTCATGACGCAAGGTGGCCCGGTCAAGGCTGGAGTGCCTTTGGATGTTTCCAAATTCGTATACAAGCATTAACAGCAGCAGATCAGAAGTGAGGAGTGGAAAGAAGAAGAGCTGGCAGCATAAACATCGTTACCCATAAAAGTATCATGTCAGTTGGAGCTGCAAGGCGGCCCTCGCAGGAAATATGTGTGGTAAGTTCTTACTAATTGTCGCCTTCAAAAAGTTAAAAAGCTGTTACAATAACTTGTAGCCATTTTCACCAAGTAAATAAAAGTTCAAATAAATTCATTTAGTTGCGGATTCCAAGAAAACAGAAGTACTAAGGTCAAATTTCTATTGTCCAGGCATAAGTTCCTTTCCAGTTATGGAACATATTTTCAAGTGAATACGACAGTGTGTACAGGGTATAACAGCCAAGTCAACTGCAGAAACCACTCAAGCTAAAAGAAAGACTGTCGATTAGAAAAACCGCAACAAAGTTGCAGCCGTCAAAACTGTTAACGTTTAAATACAAAACTTAAATCAATGTAGAAACTAAGTAAGTGAAGACATTTAAAGTGAAATATGTGGCTTATAAGTGCTTTCTCTTATATAAAATAGTATATAGTGCTTCGCATAGAAACAGATGTGCAAGTCATTATATGGAGGAATGTGTTGTATTTATGTTTATCACGTAGGGCTGTTGCTGACGTATGTTGAAAGCATTTGCATACCCCACTCTGATTAATCAAAGTCCACATCGGGCGGCAATAACTTTTCCCATTTTGCCCACTTGCCAATATTGCGCATACGTCACGTACGCACATGAATTGCATGCACCATCATGGCACGGGCCAGGCATTTTGTAAGGAGCAGGCCACTTGCAACCTAATGATTACAGCGCTAAACACACGCAGGTAGCAACAAGCCCACACACAGACAATGTGCAGCTCACAACTGCAACAATCTGCTGCTGCCTGTTGGCCACAGCCGGCTGCAACAAGCTCTGTGAACGACCAGGAAAAATGAAGCCAATACAAAAACATCGCGCAGTGCGTCGAGTGCATTAGATGAATATTAAAAGCACTTTGCCAGTAGGTCAAGAGAGGGTGTGGCTGGCAGACGGTCAGTCTGTTGTTGCTGCTGCGGCTCTTCCAGGATCTGCAGTCGTCATCATTGCGTTGCGTTACACAATGAATGACTCAAGCGAAGCTTGAGTCGCCATTGTTTGTGCTATGCTTCGTTGCATAAATCGCAGAGCCCGTAGGTCCCCTGACATTTGCCATATTTTGCTCGCATAATAAATTACGTTTACACGTATTTGCATATAATCACATCAGCTTAGTAAAGAGGCTTCTGAGCTGACAGCTTGCAAAGTGCAAGCATTCAATACAATACAAACCCGTTCGCCAAATCACGCTGCCAAAACCCCGCCCACACGCTGATTTTAACAATTGTGCTGCGTAATTTTACAAACAGATTTTCGCACAGCAACCAAATGCGGTTTATAATTCGCAGCGCTGGCGACGTTGAGTGGCATTGTCATTGTCACTGCCAGCTGCCAGACAGTGGCAGCCACAGCTCGGCAATTCGCTCGACAATCCGTTTGCCTGTCAGCGCCAGCAGCTGCCGCAGCTCGCACACCTGTTGGGTTTGTATTGAGGCATAGGACACTGGCGCTTTATCCGCATCTGCAGTTGATGGCTGCACCTGAACTGAAAAGTCTTTAACTTTAACTTTAACGAACTTTAATATGCTGTGCTTTTCAACTGTTTAGTTTTAATTTCAGCTAAATAAACGCTTAATTTTTGCAGAGGATTTACCTTGTGGCAAACACCTGTTGCAACTTCCGCTTGCCGCTGCGCGCTGTCAGAGCTTTTTCGTTAATCAAACACAGAAATGTAATTTATTAAAACGCCCAAAGGACTAAGGAAGCAGGCAGCAACATGGCCGAAACATTCATTCTACCAAATGCGATGGGATTAGTTTTATCCAGTTAAAGATGCTTGCCAGCCTGCGACATTAGTCGAGACGTGATCTCATTGATTGGGCCAGCCTAAAACAGGAATCAGCCTGAGATTTTGACTGCTTCAGTTGGCGCCCATCTGCTGGCTCAGATTTGATGGCATAAATCTACACGGTACACAATAGGTTGAGCAAAGGGAAAGAACGAACTCTGCAGTGCTGATGATTAAATACACTTTCAGACTGACAGTAATGGAATTATATGAATAACAACCTTCCTGGGACAAAGCAAACCCTTAGATAATTATTTCTATGATAAATGTTGACTACTGGTAAACGGCTATTTCTGATCAAAAATCAATATAAAGTGATTTCGTGACAAAAACTGCAATACCCTACGTTAGGGTATACAAACACATAAGCTACGGCAAGCAAATTTAAAATCGGAAGAGAACAAGAGTAAGATGTGAAAGTAGCATTAGGGTTGGGGATAAGCAGTACTGCCGACACATACAAGTACTCGTACTTGTGTAAGCGAGTATTTTAGCAAAACCTCATGACAACGCACAGGTTGTGGTGGGAGTCATGCCTTAAGGCAAACTAACAAGCAACCAAAAGCAGTGCCTCAATCCAAGGCTGAGTCTAACTAACAGCAACAACAACAAAAGCACCTACAAAAACAATAATGGCTGGCTACAGAAGGCATCTGAAATTCTCTGGCTTATCAGCGGGCCAATGCCGGAAGCTGTGAAAATATTCATACATATTTACACGTCTCGGCGCTGGTAGGGATGCTGCCCCATTGTGTGGCAAGTTGGTGACGCTCTGCGTATCGTGCTCTCATCAAATTACGTATTCAGCAGACAGTCTGTCTGACAGACTGTCAGACAAGCAAAACAAATAAACGACTAATAAAAATTCCTTTGGCATCAAATTTGCCTGCACTTTGTATAGTTAGGCAGCATCCTGTCACACTGACAGCACTTGTAGTGTATTCAGCATGTTTACTTAATTGGTTTACTTTACCGATCAACAAATTGCTTTACATACTACCGTTTGTTTGCCAACAATTAAACTAGTTAGTCAACAACTGCGTATTAATTTATTCTTCTGGAATTTGCCACACCACTTGTTGGTAAAACCCTGAAAGTCCTTCAACGCAAATTCAATTGTTGCATGCAGAAAATAAATATTAAAAATAAAATGTCCATTTAAATTTTTGTGTAATTACAATGTTAATAACTTAACGCAATTGACATCAATTTCTCGGCCCATCGTCTCCATCGGCGCATATCGCCTGTCGCCGTCGCCTGGCCACATTTTCAATTCAGCGTCAAAAATCAATCATAATTCAATTAACGCCTTGGCATAAGGCGCCTGTAAGTCCTGTTGTACGGCATGGACACAATTTGATGTATTTTTCCATGGCGCATTTTTGCTCAAAGCTTTCCATAATTTCTAATAGGAAAGTTCAAGTACCTTTTTGGAAAATTATGTGAGTGCTTAAAAGACATTTTGTTATTTGCAACGTTTTTACTAAAGATAAAAATATTTTTAGCTTAAATTTCAAATTTTATTATTAAAAAATAAGAACACAAATTACATGGACATTATTGATCAGTTGATACATAAAAAAATAAAACGATATAAAGTGTGCTTTTTTGCATTCTCAAGAATTTCCAAAAAATTTCTACTTTTTTTTTTGTCACTAAACTACAATGTAGTGAGTCTGCAGTATTCGATTTAAATTTCTACATTTATATTAATCTGTTATACCAGTAAATTTCTCCAAAAATAAAATGAACATGAATTAAAGTTGAATTTGAAGGGTTTAATTTATCTGCGAAGCACAACAATTTTTTGGACAAATATTTACATAAATATTATGATTCAATATTCGGTTAGCAGCTGTAAAACATATGTGTTCCGATTGTGAATTTACATAACTAACACATTCACCACATTTTCGGGCTTAAATCAGCAAATCACTTACAATATTGCGAAAACTAAAAGTAAGATTTAAATCACAACCAAATTACCAATAAAGTGTATGGATTTTGAGAAGTTTAGCAAGGATTGACATACGATTAGCGATACGTCCTTGCATTGCCAATGAGCGCGAAATACAAGTTTCATTATTACAATAAAATAAAAAGTGAAAGCACTTGCTTAAATTGAACACATCTTCTTCACTTTTCCCTCCATATGTATGAAGTACAGTGGTTCCTTGCAATAAACTATAAATCCTAAAACCATTTTACATAAAAATTGAATTTAAATAAAAATATAAAAAAAAGCAATACGTTTTATTAGTTTGAATTCCCTTGGTTTTATAGAGTACAAAAACTGAAACTGGTATTTTTTCTATTCTCAAGCCTTTTGTAAAAGACGAAAGATGACATTTAGAGACACACACATACACACACACTCAAACACGCCGAACACAATTTGGATTGTAGCATCAATTTACAGCTCTGAGCACAACTAACGAGGCAGCTCACGTAATCAAAGAACTCGTTACAATGGCACACATCCATCAACTAAATTGGACACGCCCATGTCGCATAGATTACGCCAAACTCTTTAGCGGGTGACAGCAAATGCAAGCAGCGTCAAATCTGCACAGCGTGCGTAGACTTACAAGGCGCACTGTGCTGTGTTATAACAAGCCATTCATAAAGTCAAACAAAAAGTGCGTCAACCGACGCAAGGTTGGCCTGCGGATCAGCCAAAAGACATAAAGAAATAGAGTTGGCAACAGATCCTGTAGCGCAAATGGCATGTGCCACAACACGCTTAAAGGGGGCGGAAGACGAATGGCAAACGCGCTGCTGTCGACGCCGCAGATACGTGTTGACATGTCAGTTAGGCAAATGAGGGTAGACAGCTCACTAAAAAGCCCCACGCGCCCCACCACCCCTTAAGGCAGCTGCGAAAGTTCACAAAAACCCACACGCACTTGATGAAATTTAATGCCCTTTTGCCAAAGTTTGGTGGCCCCAAGCTTTAAAACCAAGCCGCAGACGGGTCATTAGCCGAATTCGCTGTGCAAACTGCGGTGGAGCTGGCCAATTGCCCCGATGACTGCCTGCCCAATTAAATGGCCACTGTGGGCAACACCCAACAATAATAAATTTCGGTCATTTATATGTAGAACAATTGCTGTTGCCAGCTCTAAATCTCAGCTCAAATGTACAGTTCTATCAGCGAAGCAGCGAAAGTTAATACCCAGTAAACCAGAGTAAATAGTGCTGTACATAGGTATTTCAAAGGCAGTTTGAACGATTTATGTTGGTAAAGCTCTAAATATAACTCATAAATCAAAAATCATAAATCAGTATAAATTAGTCAAGTCTCTAGTCACTAGTCTCTGTTTGCTCCCGCACATATATTAATATAGCAAAACTTTTCAATAGTACGCTTAGAAGCTACGCTTGAGATATTAAAGCCAAGTACAGGATATCTTTAAGTTGATGCCCCTCGACTCGAGCATTCTTGCTATAATTTATCTGACTGGTGTAACGAGTGCATGTGTCACAGCACCAGACTGGAATAGCATGGATTTTGTTGTGACTTTAAGGGCTCTCAGTCCGTCACCTACATAAGGCCACAAAACCAACCGACAAACTGCCCGCATACGAACCAATGCGACAAACGATAATGCTTAAAAATGTAAAAAGAAAAATAAATGTGAAAAAAAAAAGCAAACAGAATAGGAAAAGCCAACAACAATGCTCGTAAATGCAAAGAGAATAATAAAAATCGATTTAAAACAGGACTACAATTGAAATTGAAATAGAGCCTGTGCCATCCTTTTGGCCATCCCGACAGCATTATGTGGCACTGTGTGGTCTGCTCGTGCCAACGCTTGAGCCTTGTGGCACGTTGCCATTTGATAACCCATTGTGGCTAACGTTTTTCACAGAGCGCGCAAATTGAAAAAAGTACAGAAATATATATATACATATATATATATATATATATATATAAAAGTGGCATCGAGTGCGAAAGAGCAAAGGGAAAGGATATGGACTCATCCCGACGAGAGGCAAGTGGCAAGTGGCAAGTGACAACCGACGAACGTGTGAAATCCAAAAAGGGTAACCAACGCCTGTCTTTGATGGCGCGTGTCCATTTTGTGCTGTCATTGAACATGAAAACCTAAGCGGAATGCCATAGTCGGAGAAAACGGAATACGAAACGCCAATGACAAGGACTTTACCGCTGAAGTCTCAATTAGTCTCATTTGGCTGACGATTATTGAACTTTGGCTTAAAGGTCACAAGGCGCAACAGAAGTGATTTTGATCGGTTTCGTCTTCCAAACCCTTCGCATCAACGAATTCTATTCAATGTTAATTCCAACAGGAAATTTCATCTGAGACAGGCTGAGCAGCATATCTGCTGGCCTCGTGCTGGAGCTTACTGTTCAAGCCAACTTTTGACACCGGCCAACCGACACAGTAGCTAGCTTCACTCAAGCGTTAAGATAAGGGTAAACTTTCTTGGCTGCACCTTCAGGCCAAAATATGTATGTAGATGGTCTATTCACAGGTGCCGCATGCAGCTCCCGCATATATTTGGCAGACGCCACAAAGGATACAGTGCAAGCAAAATGTAACTGATACGTGCCTGCCAGAATATCGGGCTTATCAGCTCGGATGTCTGAGTTCATCTTTTATTTCTTCCTTGCACACACGGCGTATGTGTAATTGGATAACTGTGGCAAGTACATAGTATAAGGTTATATAGCCATTTTAGTTAGCCTGAAGTCTAAATAAATCCAAATCAAAGTCCGGAGATTAAATTTAACACGAAATTTGGCTAAAAGAAATTTTCGTACACAAAAATCGTTTTAATTCCAATACACTATGATTTCCGATTTATAGAATTCGTGGGCTTAAATCTCAGCCGCACAACATTTAAAATTTAATTTAAATATATGTACAAGTATTCTGCCAGTCAAATTCAGCGAAAATTTCAACGCACAGCCAAGGTTTACCCTTGCCCCAGCCCTTTTAGTAGTCCCGGCCAACTTTGTCTGGAGTTGAGAATTTGTGTTTATGCATTAAATTAGGGGAATCTCGGAGAGGGCAACTTTTATGATTGGGTTATGCTGTTTGCAGGGCCGCGTGTGCCGGCTGTTTGGGTTAATAAAATATGCAAATATCCAGCATTCAAAATTAAGTTTCGCTTTCGTTTGCAACCCTTAACGCACTGCCACAACCTTGTACCCCGTCGGTTTCAAATGCCATCCAGCTCAAAAGTAAAAGTGAAAGCGAAAGCGACATATGCAGCATACGAGCATCACGCATACGCACCGTAGTGTGGGCTTGGTGCCAAAGGTCTATTAACTAATAATCAAATTATTTTAAATAGCAGAAACTTTTGAGCACTTGTCATGCCTTTTATCTGTGCGGCAAGCTAATGGGAAAATCGTGTTTTGCCCTACACTCAAGCCGTCTAATTCATTTATAATTTTCATAATCATATTATTTAGTCGTTGGAACATTGGGTGATTGGCATATGTTGTTAGTGTGATTGTGTTTAGGTGTGTGTAAGAATAAATTTAGGATATATTGGACTTATTGCTGTGTGTGCCAAGCTTTTAAGCACTTACCAATAATTCCGTGTTAAGCCTTACTGTTAAAACTTTTAATGAAGACGCCTGAGGATCTAAAAACTTCCTGTGGCAGTAGCTAAGAACATTATGAATTTCATAGATAAAAGTCGAAGTGTCAGATACCTATGTGTGGAAAGAGCTTTCCATTAGATTTATAAATTAAAGCGAATGAAACAGAGTTTTAAATATAACTTATAACATTTCATAATTAGAGAAAGCGGCTCTACAATTACTTAAAAGCTTTCTACAAAATTAGGTTTTTTAAAAAATTTTAATACTAGAGCAGTTGTATATATTGTTGAGTTCAAAATGTTCAGTAATTTAAATGGTAACACCTGAGGCACTAGCTTAGCATGTCTACTCAAGATGATTTTTGTAGATAAGTGCAGTCGCAGTGCTAGATAACTTAAAGAGCTTTCCATTACATAAAATAACATTAATGCTTCAAGCAGGATTAAGTGCGAAATA